AGCTGTGTGAAACATAAAAAAAGAGAGTGAAATAGAAAAAAAATGAACTTATGATTTATGGTTTTGATGATTAGATAGAATAGATTATAGAAAGACGAGAGTTACGTTGTAACCACAGAGTAAGAGGTAAATTTATAATTGCATTTATAATGGCTGCGAAGGAGATCGGAAGCGATTCCTTTGTCTCTTTTTTCTTTCTATTTTTCTTTTACTTTTGTCCTTTCTTGCACTTTTAGCTTTCTCTTTGATTTCTTTCTTTTTCTTTCCTTTTCTCACTTTATATTAGTTTAGTTTTTATCTTCTTTTTAAAAAGTCTTTAATAAAATGATACAAGACAAAAAACAAAACAGGAAGAAAGCCAAGGGAGACAGGTTGGTAAGAATTGTGCTGAACTTGTTCTTTCCTCCCCTTTTTTTATGTCATGGCTTTCGGATGGGGAGGGAAGAGGGTTACTGTGATAAAAAGATGCTCTATAAGCACCTTTTTGGCTGAAGAGTGGGGAAAAAATGGATGGATGGATGGATGGATGGATGGATGGATGGATGGATGGATGTTTGCTGCCAGAGCAGCCAGAATAGAGAACAGTTTGATGATGCTGATTCCACAGTTCTTATGCGTTTGATGGAGATGTTATGGGCTTCATAGTTGCCTGTTCAGTTCACTATCCTAGTCCTGACTTCCAGGGGAAAATTCACAATCAACCAATGATCTTAAAATGAAATTGGCTATTTTCTTGCCGGGGTTCCAACATGTATAGAATCAGGATCAGAGACTTTCCCACCCAATTCTTGTAATCCATTGTATTTCTAATCCCACCCATTTGGGAGGTCCTAATTTTACCCATTGGTTAGCTGACTGTTGCTGACTTTATAAGAGAACACCTGCTTATGGTGCCTCTGAGTAGGAGAGTGCCTGGCCTGGGACAGGAATGGAAAAGCTGATCTTGCTAATATGGGCAACTTGTTTCCTTGGTAAGCTGGCATCATCATCATCATCATCATCATCATCATCATCATCATCATCATCATCATCATCATCATCATCATCATCATCATCATCATCATCATCATCATCATCATCATCATCATCATCATCATCATCATCATCATCATCATCATCATCATCATCATCATCATTATTATTATTATTATTTATTACTACTACTACTACTACTACTATATTATTATGTCATCTTTCAGTTTCCAGAGAGGTAGTTCTCTTAATTTTCTGAAACCAATCATCAAAGCATTTTGTGATCCCTTAAAAACCAACCAAGTGGTATTGATTGCCACTTCAGCTTTTGTGGATCACAGTCCATTTTGAAAGATGGTGAAACTTTTAAGCTTCCACAAGACACTGTTACTTTTCCATTTGTTACTGTTGTTGACAGGTGTACTATTTCTTTAGACCCTGCTTAACAAGGCTGGAAGTCCTTTGTTAAGATCTGAAACAGAAAATGGGTGGTTATACCAAGTGCTGGAGAAAGTGGCAGAGAATTAGGATTAATGTGGTGAAAGTTCGGGGTAGACTTTAAGCTTCAGAGTTTTTGAAGGATCTCTTTTACATTCACAATGCCCAGATCTAGTTCATACTGCTTGTCATCTGCCATCTCTCCCATTTGAAAAAAGTATCAATGCTAGGAAAAACTGATGTTGTCCAACCGTGTACTTGCATAAGACGTGTGAAATAAGTTAGATCATATCAATATAACGTTATTCTCTTTTTTGCATTTCAGTGGTGAACTGTGCAGAGTTTCACAAACAATTGCAGATGCTTTCCGCGTTAGACGATGTCTATCATGTTACAGGTAATGTGGGACCATTAGATGATTCAGGAAGAAGTGGTCTGCAGCAACTTGGTGGTAGAATGGCTCAGTCTAAAAGAGATCTCAGTCCAGTACTTCTGTTGTTGCTTGCATTGTGTCTCTGCCTCTTCTTTCAGGGATACTTAAACTGCCTTTTGCTGAAATAGAAGAGCCCTTTGAAGCCTGGTACAACAAGACTGGAAGAAAAAGTCGGATCCAGTATTATGATGGTAATCCAAATTTGGTATCAGGGTGGTGGGATCACCTAGTGAAAATATTCACTGCATTGTCACCATGAATGTAGACAGCCCTTCAGGGAGGAAGAATAGAGGAAAGGTCAGACTGCATGTCCATACAGACTGGACCTCTTGACCTTGGACTGCCCACATGTGTTGGATTACAATTCCACAATTTCATGACTGTACTAAGTTGGGGGAGGCTGGTAAAGATCTGTATTATCTGCTCTGCTTGTCTGTAGCTCCTTTCAGATAAAGATTTCTACATCATCACCATCCTTATTTTTCCTTTATAATCCCACCTTATCACCAGGGTTTCTGGAGATTTTAAATTTTTAAACCTTGAAATATTTACTGGAACTCTGTGATGTAGGTTAGCTCCCAGGCTCTGACCCTGGGCCCTTCTCCAAAGCACGTACTCTACCATTGACCTATTTTTCCTCTCCATCTGTTCTACTCGCATACATGCCACATGCATTGTCTTATGGAGATCATTTGAATGCACTATCTTACACTAACACACTCTGGCAACCAAGAGTCTTCTGCTGGAAATGTTGGGAGTTGCAGTCCCAGCACACCTAGAGGGCACTAGAGCCAGCAACAATTATTCTAATTAAATAAAAAGGGGCTATACTGTCAGAGGCAATCAAATATCTAGTATAATTCTGCTTTTCCCTTTGCTCCAGGCCAAGTTATCACTTACCAGTTAGGCAATGTAAAACCTTTTGGAGTCAGCTTCAAGGTAACCCCAGAAACCACTGAAACAAAGGTCAACATTAAGAAATGCTTTCAGATCAATGGAACATCTGAGAATCCCATTGTGCCTCAAAGAGTTTTTCCTAACTTAACAGGCTTCCAGGTGAGCTTTTTGGCCACCTTCTCATCTCTGTGGGTTCAATTCATGCATCACATCAAACATGAATTATGTTAACTATAAGTTAAGATATGCACCAAAAATCATGGACTAGAGCTCTTGATCTGCTTTTATGTTCCACCACTTCAGTGTCCACCTGCACAGGTTGGCTCCCATGTAGTTTGTCACTTGAATATGAAAACACTGTCAACTTAAATGAGGCATTTCCCCAAATGGGAGAGATGGGTGAATGTGTCTCCTATCATGACATTTCTGAAGCCTGGGTGGGGTATGTGCATGTGTGTCTGCTGTCTTGTTTAATTGGGGGCAACTTCTTAAAAGTTTTTTTTTTAATCATGAATTAAATCTGCATTGTCTATATATGCTCACTTTGGAGTTTGCCAGACTAAAGACAGTGTGACCTATTAGTGTGTAGTTGTCCATAGGATTACACTGAAAAACTTGCAGTACAAAGCCACAGCCAGAGTAAATCAACTTTAGACACTATGGCTGAACAGCAACGTAAAGTATTTGCAACTGACCTTTCCATTAATGTTGGCAAACCTTCCCTCTATTCTGCTTTCTTGCCCACTAGCCTGTGCGGCAGGAGCTTTACAAGGGACAGCACTGCACGGTCTTGAAGAGTGTATCCTATTGGGGTAAGAAGAAGAACACCTACAAGTTGTGGCTGGCAGATAGTTCCCACGGGCCTCTGCCGGTGCACTATGAAATGAAAGGCTTCAACTCTCTGCTGGGTTCTCACTATGACAAGTATGAGATAGATTATATCAGCTACTCCCACAGTTTCTCACCCGACGTCTTCAATCTTCCTTCCAGTAAGTATGGATATACATTTTCTGGAATATTGTGAATGTCTGGATCCATCCTACTGATCTATTGTATTGGTCAACTTCCTCCAATCTAGTCAACTTTCCCCAATCTAGTTGTTTCCAGATAAATGGGAATTCTGGAAGCTGAAATCCCAACATGTCTGGAGGGCACCAAATTAAGATAAGCTGGTGGAGTCTACTTACAAGAGACCTGTATTCTAGTTGTAATAATGTCTTACCCAAAGGGATGTTACTTGCTACTTTCCAGATTTTTTTTTTAAACCATCTCCTTTCAGCCCCAATTAGTCTGGTCAACATAAATGTATTGTGGGAATTCAAAACATGTAACCCTGGAGAAATGTTCCACCCTCCTTCCAGCACCCTGTTAATTAAAATACTTGTATGTGTATCAGTAGAGATAATTCCTTCTCAATTTTTAAAAAAATGCTATTTTCCCAAAGGTGGAAATTTCAGGATCAGATGGAGAAGAGAACCCTGGAGATGAATGGTATCTTCATAAATCAATAGCTTACAAAGGTGTAGGATGTGCAGGGGTTCAGTTGGTCTTCCCCAAGCTAATGCTCTCTAGATGTGTATTCTCAGAATTTCCTAGTCAGTGGCCATTGCTCAGAATTCTGGGAGTTGACATCCTCACATTTGGAAAGCACTCAGCTTGGGAAAGGATGTGTTAGGGGTATCACAGGAAAAGCAATTATGCAGAACCCACATAACAGATGGCCTTACAACTTGACCTCTTAAATTGGCATCCAAGCCAGATATTCTCAAGTCTTTGCCAAGTGTGTGTAATTAGTGTCCCAGGCCTTCCCACTCCACTTCCTCAATGACCAGACTATGCCAATGCCAAAATGAAATCACAATGTTCTACTAAGTATAATAACTTGAAACAATTTGTTCTTAATATTGGTCTTCTCCACAGGGCACATAGCAGGCAACAGAGAACTCAAGAAGAAGAGTTTTTACTTGATTGATTTTCTGGTTTCCTTCTCATAGATATGAAGTGTACATACTGGCCAAAAGTAGGACCAGAGCATAGGATCTTGGCCAATCCAATGCAGGAATTTGTTGGGAGAACTGGAGAAGTCAGCCAAGACCATGAGCATCTGTTTCATCACTACAGGAAAAAATTCAGAAAAGTCTACAAGAGCAAAAAAGAGACAGAACACCGGCGACACAACTTTATCCACAACATGAGGTAGAGGAACCAGCAGAGACGTAGAAGCTTAATTACCTAGAATTCCAGAACTTTCAAGGTTCTGCTGATTGGCCAACCAAGCAGGAGGGAGCACCCTTTTGCTGGTCAAGATCCAAACTTAATATCTTGAGAAAATGTTCAGGGCTACAAAGTGATGGGGGTTGTATCAAACAGGCGGGCAGAGCTTCTTTTTTTATTGGGGATTTATTTAACTGTTATATGCCTATTTTAGGTCTTGCACTAATGTTTGTGTGTCTTTCCCAGCTCAAAATCATAGGAAACTCTACCATCAGTTTTCAGCAAGCATGATCAGAGGAAGTCCCCAACCCTAAGCACTGTAAAAGGGGAGTGTAATGGTATGTGGGAATAACCTTGGGAGATAGGTGGAAAAGCCACAGATGAGACAACAGTCAAACAAATGGCAGCTGAGTCTGCAGAAAGAATGGAGGCATGGCAAACATCTCAGAAGGGACCCTCCCTAGTTTCTTGGATTGTAAAGGCAAGGGGGGAGAGATGTACTTTCAGACTCATAAGATTCTTTTAATATAACCTTACAATAAAGCTAGAGCTATTATTTCTGGGTATGCTTCTTGTATGGACTACCTCACAAGGCTGACAGGGAGTCATTGGCTCCCCACCTTGCCAAAAGAAAAAAACAAAAAAGATGGGTGGTGAGAATCAAGCAAATGAGTCAGATATTTAAATGCTGGGATCCAAAATGCCTGACAAGGAATGGGATGAAGAAGACTGGAACTACAGAGAAGATGTTAAAGTAGGGCAATGGAAGAAAACTATCAGTCTTTCAATCAACAGGCCAACGAAGCTGATGGATTGTTAGATCTCTAACCACTGCCATGGGATTCCTTTGGAATTCTAGTCATGTCAGTGATCCTTTGTTAATAGCTTAATTCATCCATTGGGTTTGTTTTAACCACGATCAACTAAATAAGCCATAATACTTCGGTGAACCCAATTACTGTGGTTTATTCAACAGTTACGTGCATCCATAAACAATGGCTTACAAGCCCCATTGGCTGGGTTCATGCTAAGCCCCAAATAAATAAACCACAATATAGTTTACTGTGAAGGATGAACCCAGCCAATACTTGTACTTCCTCTTCTTATGCAGGAAAGGGAAATGCAGCATTTCAGCTTCTTTATCTGAAGGACGGAATAGATAGGGTGTGAACTCTGGTATTTGACTCTTGGATTCCAACAATTAATTCAATGTTAAATATATAGCTACCACTCTATTCACTCGTGTCAATTTAATGCTTCTGTGTTAAACTAGGAGTGAGAGAAAGGATGCTTCCAGTGGAACATCTCCTAGCACCAGGGCAAGGAAACTGAGTCTCTCCTTAAAATATATTAAAAAGAAAACATGGAAGCCACAGTGGAAGACAATCCCTGTAAAATTCCATGGATAGGGCAGGGTAAATGCACGATATGCCAGCTATACAAGCCAGTTTTGCTGTGGCTCTGTCTGCATCAGAGAAAGACAGGAGAACCACCCCATTTCAGTCTCATGACTATCTGACACCCCCCCCCCCATCCACCACCACTAAAAAGATTCTGCAGGTTTTTAGCAAAAGTAAGAGCAATAGTGAGGTAAGTATGTCTAGTTCAGACAACAGTCCACCCTGTTCGTTCTTCTGATGAAAATGCATCATCTTCTCCTTCTCCATGTCCTTCCAGGTATATCCACTCCAAGAACCGGGCCAACCTCTCCTTCAAACTGGCGGTGAACCACTTGGCAGATCGAACACCAGAAGAGATGGTCGTGATGAGGGGGAGGCTACGGACTGATGAACCCAGTAAAGGGTGGCCTTTCCCATCTGACAGCTATAATGGCCTCACCTTGCCAGAGAGCTTAGATTGGAGGCTTTATGGTAACTGTGATACCTAAGTGTCTTATGCTCAGCTCAGGCTTAACAGGAACAACTAACAAAGCAACAGTGCCTTCTTTCTTTGGGGGCTTCCTCGGATGTCTGAAGAAAGTGTTTTAGAAACTGCAGGTTAGAGCAAAAGAGGATTTGTCACATCAGATTTCCCCCTCTGAAATTGAAGTTCTGCTTCCATCAGAGGAACATAATTCAGATCCTCCACTGACCATAATAATTCTGTCCAAGTCCTCATTTTGGATTTCAGCCCATTAAAATCCACACTCTTGTTTGGGTTTCGGCTCAGAGAATTTTCCTTTAATCTATCTATTCTCCAAAATGCCTTTTGCATATTGCATTACTTGGAATGCTGGTGGTTCCTTAATTGTTATTGTGACAGTCCTTCCTTCTCTTCCTCAATAAAGGGGCAGTGACACCAGTTAAAGACCAGGCAGTGTGTGGATCCTGCTGGAGCTTTGCCACAACGGGAGCTCTGGAGGGGGCCCTCTTTCTCAAGGTGAGAGTCCCAATGGCTGATGGACTGTTGAGTGACAGCTTGAATTCTGCAATCTCCACTATAATGCTAGCTGATCTTTGAGGTCCACAAACCCCATCCTACACCTGCACTTAGTTTTTGTGTTCCTTACTTTTTAAAAGATAATATTAAAAAAAAAACAGGATGCAGCAAGACAAAACCTTCCTATTTCTAAAGTATGGCTCTGCCAGTTGCAAACAAAGCTGAGGGTAAAGCATAGATTATAGGAAGGCCTCCCTCTAGCCAAGGAACACAGGTAGGTTATGTTCACATCAAATGCTAAGCCACGATTTTCTTAAGCATGGTTTACTGGAAGCTATAATTGGTGGGGTTCACTAAGCACACTAAGCCACAATCTAGCAAATCACATTCTTGGTTTAGCTGGTTGTATGCTTTGGGGAATAAGACTAAGACCAAGAGGATTTATTCTTAGCTCTGCTGAGGAAACAGCAACACATATTTCCTCTTTTCTCGCAAGGCACTGCAGCTCTGCAGAGCTTTTGGGCAGTGCATCCCTTCCATTGGCAGAAAGTCTCACCTCACTCCCCTGCCTGGCTCCTGGCTGTTGTGGCAGCATTGTTCTCAACCTTTGGAGGTTGGCTGCCATGATCATTGGTGGATTTCATGGTGGGACTTGAGGTTGGAAGTGGGACAAAGTGGGATTTGAGGCTGGAAGTGGGGGTCATGGCTGTGGCATGGCAGTGCCTTTAGAATGGCTGGTTTCTAACCAGAGAGAAGTTCTCTTTTCTCCTTCCATGCAGGCAGGAATGCTCATCCCCCTGTCTCAGCAAATTCTGATCGATTGTTCCTGGGGTTTTGGAAACCGTGCTTGTGATGGTGGCCAGGAACCACGTGCATATGAGTGGATTATGAAGCACGGAGGGATTGCCAATGCTGAGTCCTATGGGCCATACATGGGTCAAGTAAGTCTAGGGCAGTTTCATGGATGTCCTTTCTGTATTTCTCAGGTGAGATGTTTCTCCCGGTCTTCCTCAACCTGGGACTTTCCTGGCGCCCTCTAAGATGTGTTCAGACTACAATTCTAGTAGAAGTCTTGGGACTTCAATGAAAAATGTAGCCTGAACACATCTGAGGATGTCAAGCTAGGGAAGACTATTTATCCAGTTATATGTTTCCCCCTTTTGGCTCAGGGTGGAGATCTGGGAAACCTGGGTTCAAATTACTGTTCAGCTCTCAGTACCATGGTTTCCTTTCTATAATCACTTACACCAATATATATTTCAAAGAGGTGAAAGTATGTCCACTGCTTCATAAACTTTCTCAAGTTTTGGGGAATTTGAAGACAAGATAATAGACTGTTGTAACTAGAGGCGTCTGCATGTGAACTAAAAAAAGTCAGCATGGTAGCCATGATTGTGTGACCGAACCCCTCGCCCCTTTTAATGTGCATTGTGGCATGTGTCGAAAAAAGGCAGGGCTTCAGATTGTATTATTGTAACCATCATCTTGGCTTTTTTGATCCCTCCTGCAGATGCTCCTGCTTCTTGCTGTTGATACCATAAGACAAAGGTTTTCAAACTTTCTGATACCTCAAAGATCCTAAAATTTTGTGCAACCCTCCCCTCCATGAATAAAAGGAATGATTTTATTAGGGTTAGGGTTGGGCAAGAACTAAACACACGGCTTATTGTTAAATGTTAATCTATACATCCCGGGATTGTCAAACTCAATCCTTTGATTGTTGTGCTGCAAAGTAGCTGCTATTTGAGTTTAGGAACATAAAGCTCATTTGATCACACAAATCCCATCTATTCTGTTATCCTGTTTCCTGCAGTGGTCAGCTAGATGCTATGGGTCATTCACAAGCAGGACAAAAGCCCCAAAATATGCCCAATAAATGCAACTATGGATCTCATGCCAGGCCTAGACTGATTCAGATCGCTCTGCCTTCCAGGCACAACTTTGCATTCATAAGAGCTAAAAGCTTCCTTCTCAAAATACAAAGGCCACCTGTGATTCTTAAGATGTGGACTGCAGCCAGATCCTGCCAAATTATATCTTTTCTTAATTTTGCACTAAACACCCAATTTTGTTCAAGAGCACTTTGTTCAATTTGCACAAATTGTGGTCTGAAAACAAAGATGGAATGTGAAGTGTATCTACTCCAAGTGCCTTCTTTTATATTATTCCTCATAGTTAAGGATCTTGTGAAAGTGTAGTTGTCAGAATAGCAATAATTTGGGGATAGAGTGTTGATTTGTATGCAGAAGGGTTTTAGGTTTTAATTCTTGCTGCCTCTAGGTTGAGATGGTAGAAATCCTGAAGAGCTGCTGGTGGTTAGTGTTGTCAGTATAGAGCTAGATCAGGGTTCCCCAAAGTGGTCAATATCAACCCGCAAAAGTTGATGGGACTATCCAAGGGGCCAATATTGTTGCAGATGTTATTATTATTCGTAGTACTATTAAAGTAGTTTTTATTAAATTGTTTTCATATAATAAGTGTTTGGGAGTTGATGAACACTCTGAAACTTCATGAAGAGGTTGATGAGCTGAAGAGTTTGGGGACCCCTGAGCTAGATGGATAAGTTATCTGATTTGATAGAAGACAGCTTTCTAGGTTGATAACCAAGTAGCACATTAGTGGCTGGGATTGCTGTAGTTTCTGTGAAGTAAAAATGGGGGCGCATTGTCTCTTCCCCCCTACAGAATGGCTACTGTCACTACAACCAATCAGAGCTGATAGCACCGGTCTCTGGATATGTCTTTGTTGCCTCCCAGAACATCACGGACCTTAAGGCTGCTCTGTACAAGCATGGTCCTGTCGCAGTGAACATTGATGCCTCCCACAAGTCCTTTGCCTTCTACTCCAGTGGCATCTACTATGAGCCTAACTGTGGTGAGTTTTCTTTCACCTCTTGGTTCAAGGTCTCTTTCCCAAGTGGGGGATCTGGATGTAGCAAAACTATTGGAGCTACCACTTGTACTGTCAATTTTTTCCTCTCCTTTCTTAGTGTCAGGGATTCTCAATTTCTTTTGTGCTGGTGGGCACATTTGGAATTTGAGAGTATCTCATAAGCATGCTGTGTGAATGGCTTCCCTGAAGAAGAGCTGCCTTCTGCTTAGAAAAGGGCTTCTGTAGGGAGAGTTGCCAATATACAAAATGGTAGCCAATTTACTAACAGGCACAATGATGTGAATGTTCCTTACCAGCTATGCTAGATCCTCTAGAGCATTCCATGGTATCATCAATACACCCTTGTTGTTCTCTGGGCAGGTAGGCAATTTTCCAGAAAAAAGATAGTAATGGGCTGTAGCCACCCACCATTTTTATTTTCTAAAAATACCTATTGGGACTATGTAGATCCAGAAATTCTTGGAACTGAAAATGATTCCAGAGACTGGCACATTTCAGCACGCTAACTTCCCTTTCCCCATTTCAGTTTTAAAAATCTTTCAAAAAGGTTGGATGGGTGTCATAAGAAGATCCCATGAACATTATATTAGGGGCTTCCAAATTATGAGAAAGTCATATTTGGAGTCATCATTATACTTCCTTCCTCCCCCAAAGATTAAACATTTCAGTTTTATCACACTGGAACGTATTAATTCAGAATTTATGGTGAACATCAATACTTGTATTGTATTGTATTGTATTGTATTGTATCTCATTAAGCCAAAAGATTTATTAAACTGTATCACTGCATTTTAACCAAACTGGAATTTTTCTGAAAGGACCAAGGAGGTGGAAGGCAGGTTTGAGTATTTTGTGCTGAGCTAAGGACTTACAACTTAGAGTAGAAGAGCAGTAATAGAAAGAATGAGAATCTACCTCTCTGGAAAAAAATCAGAAGTACCTTTAAAACACTCCAGTTTCTTCATATATGTGAGTTGTGGAAGGAGATGATGAGTTAATTGTTACATCTTTTCTTCTAGGAAATAGAAGCATGGAGTTAGATCATGCTGTCCTAGCTGTAGGGTATGGAGACCTCCAAGGCGAACCCTACTGGCTCATCAAGAACTCTTGGTCCACATATTGGGGCAATGATGGCTATATCCTCATGTCCATTGAGAAGAACGACTGTGGGGTGACTGCTAGTGCCACCTATCCAATCCTGGCCTAACAGTGAAGGCTGTCAACCAAGAACATGTTCACCAAAAGACATCTGGTTGTATTGTATTAGAAAGCTCCATAGCAAAAGGTCCTCCTTTTACAAATCATTCAGCTGAGCCACCTAAATGTGAGTGCAACAGAAACATCCATGCTGCAAAATGCTATTGTATTGCAAGGAGGAAGCTGAAGACCGAATGTGTGTGCACTTATCTTAACCTATCCTTTCCCCTAGCTTTTTGAATCTGGGTAGTACAACCATTCAGACTACTGTACAGCATCCTTTCCCTTGATTGGCAGGGACAGAAAATGGAAGGGAAAAACATATTATACCACCAAAAATTCCATTTCTGAGAACAGAATAAATTACATGTGGCAAAGAAATATGAGTTATTTACATTGCTGATGATTCCTGAGTAAGATTGTAAGATATAAGTGGCTACTATGCAAAAAGCTGATAATTCTCAATCAGCACTAGCATGCAGAGGCTTTATTTTTCTTAATACCTCTGCATTTGAATGAAAACAACCAGGAGGTTCTATTCAAGTTCTATTTAATGGATTTACTGACTTTGCTGCACATGTTGTGTTATGCACATTGTGGTTTGCAAACTGTGGTTTCTGGTGGTTTAAAATCTCTTGCAAACTTAACCAATGATGGCATATTTATAAACCACAGCTAAACAAATAATGGTTAGTGTTACATGTGAAGCCAATCAATTAAACTTTTTTAAAAACTTGCTGTATATGGCTGATCTCTCTTCTGTTTTCCATCTACTAAGAAATCTGTAGCTCACAAAAGATTTTAAAAATTGACCTTAACATCTGGACTTTATGGCTGAATTTATGTTTTGCAATAAACAGTGGCTACGTTCAAATGACATGGTAAGTGACAAAGCAGCCAACTACACTTTAACCAAATGTGTTTGTACAGTACAACTCAGAAAATTAGATGGTTGAATATAGACAGTGCTGTTCATTTGATGGTAACTTATTGTGTCCATCAATTCAGCCATGGTACCTTTGATCAAGGAAACATGGTAGAAAAAAAATGATAAATCCTGGCTCGATATGATGTGGGAATCCAGCCCATTCTATTTGGATTGTAGGATAGCCATTTATTATTATTTATTATGTTTATATGCCAGCTTCCTTCTCAAAGAAGGAAAGGGTCCTTATGTTGTCGATCCTAAACATGGATAAGAACATACCAGAACAATCTAATCCCACCAAGGTTATTGCATTATCACAGGGATTCCTCTCCCAATTTCTAGGGTGAATGTATGTCCCCATGTTGCACATTTCTTGGTGAATAAAATGATCTAGATTGGTTAACACTTGCTTTCGTGCATCCCTCCCCAAGATATTGAATATTAACTCCTGTAATTTCCAGCTGCTGCTCTTCCATTAGGAGAGTATGGTTTGCCCAACTTTTATTCAGCATCACAACATGGGTGAATACACAAATGCCTATTTGGATATATCAGTTTTGTTCCTTTTGAGGTAGAAATTCCTCCGTCCTCCCAGTGCTTTGCATTCAGCCAGGCTGCGAGGCCATCTAGCCTCACTTCTCCCCTGCTCTCTATGTTTATGAAGATTCTCAGTCATTGGGGTTCTCTGATGGTTCTTTTCTTGCAAACGTTTCATTACCCAGCTAGGTAACACCTTCAGTGTTAAAATGGGATGGGGTTTGCTCTCTCTTTATGTGCTGTGGCCTGCCTTGCCAGTGCTGGTAAGGGTGGGGGTTCTGTTTTGCTCCTCTGGTAGTCCTTTGATTGGCATGTGCTTGCTGCTGGATTGTGTGCCTGGTGGTGACCTTTGCTTATCTGGGTGATGATTGCTGGTGATGATTGCTGGTGAT